CTATATTCTATTATACAGATGATACTTATATCAACGAGTCAAGTATATGACTTCTAGCAATATGTTAAAAATATATAAAAAACGGGCGCGCCAAGTATGCTGCTGCTGGACATTTCTTCCCATCTTTGATTTTAGAAATTTATAATGCAGACGAGTAGCTTCAATCTTGAACTACATTCTGGACGAACATTGGCAAATATAGGACTGAAAAAAGTTGGAGTTGGCACTGGTTCAATCGATATCTTCTGCAACATATAGTTACACTATAATGTCGATTATTGCAGCAGACGGACGTCTTCTTTCACCACTGTATACAGTTTTGAAAGAAACGGGAACATTTGGATCACGGATGCTAGAAATCCTATTTCGTCCAAGTGTAACTATGTATTGTAGAAGATATCGATTGAACCAGTGCTTCAACTTTTTTCAGTCCTATATTTGTCAATGTTCGTCCAGAATGTAGTTCAAGATTGAAGCCACTCTCGTCTGCATTATAAATTTCTTCAACTCCAATAGCTGGGATGTTAGTCTTTACATTTGAAACAAACGATTTTGCGACATCTTGTAGATTGTCAATATCTTGTAGTGTTAATTGTGTCCTGAATGTTGTTATCTTGCGGGAAACAATTCTGTGTACTTTCTTAAATTTCCAAATCTACTATTTACTTACCTTGAATTCGGGTAGGTCCACTTGATCTTTTGCCTCCAAGGCCCAAAATCTTAAATTAATATCATGAATTATAGATCTTCTTTCAATAGCTTCTTTAAACTTTTGCAAAACATATTGCGTAATAAATGCAAGTTTATCTGCACTTGTTTCACCTCTATTTACACTCGCCTCCCACCTGTATAGTTGGTGTATAGATTTAACCCTGCGAAAACGTCTTTGTATAGTAGATAAATGTCGACTGGTCTTTTTTGCGCTTTTCCAAAACTCCATAGCTTTTCTTTTATAATTGAAATCGACCGTCCCTCCTTCATCATCAAGAATGCATTCTTCAGGTTCAAAATTATCTTCTTCTACTTCTACATTTGAAATATATTCTACAATTTGTGGTTCATGTAGTTCTGATGAATCAAAATCAAGCTCATAATGATGTTCCAATAACAACACCGAATGAGTATTTTGAAAATTGTTTAGAATATTAACAATTTTATCATGAACTTCGATTTCCAAAGGTAGGTGTCGGTGTTACACTTGCAATACGAAAAGTTGTTGCTAATAAATTTATTACATTAGCAACATTTAACGGTGTCATTTTAAACACAAATCTATCAAGCAATAATAGAACTAACTAGTCAATGACTACTATTGCAAATGAAACGGAATCCTAGCTTGCTCGGGCATATTTATATGAACTACAAGACGCGATTACATAAACTTATTTACATATTCAAATGCTTCGCAAATATTATCTGCGCGATAAGAAACTTCCGTGATTATATATATGTACAGGCTGTTCCCAGACTGTGACAAGTTGTTCACATCGATTTGACTTGATCTTACGACATTAAAATTTTGCTTCGTAAACATTGTCTAACCGTACGCGATAAAATCGATTCATAGTTATACATTCGCAGGGGAGCGTCCCGTTTGACCACGTCCCGATTGACCACAGCCACTCACAGCGGCCGGTGCCTAGAGATTTTCCACTGTTCAAGCGCTGTGAGTGGCTGGTGGTCAATCGGGACGTGGTCAATCGGGTATCACCCCATTCGCAGAATATTGCGGAAATAGATTTCCTTTCATTGTTAAATGCAAAAATGCGAGCAGAACGTGCTGCGTGAAGGATTGCTGGGTGCGCGCAGCGTAAGCGAGTACGGATGGTGCGCGCATAGAGGCGTTTGTAATTATTTCTCGAAAATGATACTTTGGAAAATAACTTTATCACACATGGTTGAATTCGTATTAAAATAACCTTTAATTTGGTCACAAAAAAATTTAAAAATTAAAAAAAAATGTGAAGTGGTGGGAGAAACATTAAAAAAAATTTAAAAACATTTTTTTACTACTATCATAAAGTTCACTTCAAGCCATTCAACTTTGATCTAAAATCTTTTTTTCTATCTCTCATAGTTTCGACGATATTCACGTCGGAAGAAAAAAACCGGTATTTTTCAAGGGTGGTTTTTTTCAAAGGTGGTTTCATCCCTTCAAAGCGGATTTGAGCACCAACGAAAAATAGTTTCATGCTACGAATGAACTGCTCTATTTTTACACCAAGTTTCAGATTTTTTTGAATTTTCGGGTTCGCAAACTTCCCTTGTAAGTTTTCTGTTTAGTATATGTGTGAAAATCTTGTACGCCACACACAGTAGTGAAATGCCCCTGTAGTTTTTGCATTGGAGTTTGTCACCTTTTTTTATAAGTGGAGCGTATAATAGATTTATTCCATTTATTGGTGAATTGTTCCTGGTTCCATATGTCTACAACTAGTGAATGTAGAGCTTTCATTATATCATGTCCTCCTGATTTAAAGAGTTCCGCCGGAATGTTATCTATGCCTGGCGCCTTATTATTGTTTTAAAACTCTTATAGCCTCTGTCACCTCCCGGCCCGTGGGTGTTTTATGTATTTCTATGTATATCTGTTGTCTCTTTCTTCATTGTCTAATATTGGCATCTCGTGTGTTTGGCTTATTTGCCCATTCGTATCTTGTCCGAGAAGTTTATTGAAATAGTCTCCATATGTCTTTAACTTTTTCTATGTTACAGGTGAGTTTATCATTTTTATCTTTGCATAAAGCGGTAGATGGCTTAAATCCGTCTCTAAGCTTCTTTAAATGTCTATATGTATTTCTAATTTTTTTATTTTTGAAATCGTGCTTCATTTTTCACAGTCGTTCATTTTCAAATGACCTCTTCTTCTTTCTACATATTTTGTCTGTCATCTTCCTTTTTTCCTCAAATTCCGTTCTTTCTATTTCTCTTCTGCGTTGAGTGTATTTCCTGTGCTTCATTCCTTGTTTTTATCTTCTCTACATTCCTCGTCAAATCACTCGTTTTGTTTGTTTTTCCCTTTTCCCTTAGCGTTTCTTTGGCGCCTTCTTATATTGCATCTTTTATGTCTTTCCATTTTTCTTCTATCGTTGTTGCTTTTAATTTATTGAGATTTTCGTTCACTTTTTCCTTATATTTTCCTGCTGTTTCTATCTTCCTCAGTCTTTCCACTTAAACTTTTCTTGATTCTGCGTTTAGTTCTTTCCTTTCCTTGCTATTCTACATCTAAATTTTGCATGCATCACAAAATGATCTGAGCCTATTACTGCTCCTCTCCTAGTCTAGACATCTATTACGCTAATTACCACTCTTCTATCCACTATCTATTTGATTGATTGTTCTGCCATTCGGCGCCAACCATGTTCCCTTATGTATATTTCGTCGTGAAAAAAATGTTGAACTGATGACCATGTTCCTACTTGTCGCAAAGTCCATCAGCATTTCCCCATTTTCGTTTGTATCTTTGTGCAGGCTATGGTTTCCTGTTATGTTCTTATACACTTCTTCTCTTCCTATTTTTGCATTCGTATCTCCCATTGGTAAGATTATTGCGCGATTTGATTGCTATCCTTTTTTTTTGTTTTGTTAATTAATTTAATCTCTTTAAATCAAATATTCAGTTCATTTATTTCTATTAGTTTGATTTCGTTCATATATGCAAGATAACCGGCCAGCGCCCTCTGTTAGAGTCAAATAGTAGTAGTAAGCTCGCAGTTCAAGTAAGAACGTGCTTTTGTATTGTACGCAAATAAAGGCATTGGTTTTCAAAATTATCGCATTGTTGTGGACTTGCAAGCCCGCATCTTCTAAACATTTGGCGTCCAACGTGGGGCACGAGTAGCAACAGTACTCGGGTTAATTGCAACATTCGCATTCGAAAGATTCGCAAGCAGGATCGCAGCATAATCTTGCAGAGTGAGATCGGAAAACGCAGCATTGATCATGGCCGAGTTAAAGAAATTGAAGGCCGTACGAGCTCAGCTGAAAGGTCAGGTAACCCGTATAAACACATTTTTGACAACAACGCAGGAGATAACTTGCGAACAAGCACAGGGACGAATAGATAAGCTACAAGAACTGTGGCTAGAATACAACGAGAATCAAACAAAGATAGTAGGCCATATCACCAAGGTCAAAGATGACGCAGAATTGGAAGCAGTCATGCAGCAAGAACTTCCAGAGCGAGAGATTTTCGAATGGGCGTATTATAAAGCATTGGATATGGCGCACAATCATAGCAACGAGTCAAGTAGCGGCACAAGCAGCAGCACAGCCGGACATACAACAGGGCGAACAGCAAGGAACGCAATCACAAGATAAAATTGATATCAAATTACCTACGTTGAAGTTGCCTATTTTTGCAGGCGTATGACCAGTGGATGCTGTATAAGAATGCATTTAAATCCTTGATACACGATAACAGCAAATTGTCGGATGTACAAAAGTTTCAGTATCTTCGAAGCACGCTAGAGGATGAAGCGTTACAGGTCATAAGCGGACTGAATACGTCAGCAGAAAATTATGTGATTACCTGGGATTTATTGAAAGGCCATTACGAGAACAAAAAGCTAATAATAAATAGTCATCTTTCAAAGTTGTTAGAGTTTCCAATTGTTACTAAAGACAAGCATGTATCGCTAAAGCAATTCGTTATGCATCTTCGTACACATTTAAAGGCCTTGGAAGTTCTAGTCCAGCCCACCGACCAATGGGATACCATCGTTATCTTCTTGGCGAGAGCAAAATTGGATTATCAATCCCAGCGCGCATGGGAGGAAGAAATCAGACAACAGGAACTGGATCATATGCCTAAAATGAAGGAGTTTCTCAAGTTCTTAAACGAGAGGTGTCGTACGTTGGAGATGCTTGATAGCAATATCAATAGACGTGAGTCAGTTGCCAAAAATAATACAAGCAAAAGAATTGATAAAAAAGTGGCACTAGCAACAACGTCGCATACTTGTCCAGTGTGTAAGGAGTCTCATTATTTATTCAGTTGCTCAGAGTTTTTGAAATTATCCATTCATGATCGTATCGCAGCGGTAAAAGAAAAACAGTTATGCATTAACTGCCTGAAATCAGGGCATTATTCAAGAGAGTGTAGGTCAACAAAGTGTCGTAAATGCTCGAAGTCGCACAACACATTATTACATATCGAGCAAGAAGATTCTTTAGCAAAGGAATCTCCAAAGGCATCACAGAAGAAATCTGAAGAACAAGCTGTTGTCATGTATTGTACAGAAAAGGATAAACAAGATCAAAAGACACCGATAGGGAAAGAACGCCAGAACGAGAAAGCTAGTTCTCGAGTTATATTAGCAACCGCGCAAGTCTATATTCGTGATAGACAAGGCAAGCGACAAACATGTCGTGTACTATTAAATCCAGGATCGCAATCGCACTTTATCACAGAAGATTTAGTGAGAAGATTACAGTTGCCATATAAAGCTGAGTCAGCAGTGATCAATGGCATTGCTCGAAACACCACGAAGATCGAACACTCAACTGAAATAAAAATTGAATCGCAGAACACTGCCTTTAAAACTGAATTGAATTGCTTGGTGGTTCCTATAATAACAGGACGATTACCTCAACTTATGATTGATAAGAAGTTACTCAGTGTACCGGACAAACATAGGCTGGCGGATTCTGAATTTGACAGGCCTGGCCCCGTGGACATTTTGATAGGTGCTGGCCTCTTCTGGAATTTATTGTGTGTTGGCCAAATAAAGAAGGTGAAAGGACAACCCATTTGGCAAAAAACTCAGTTTGGTTGGATCATAGAAGGCGAGCTCATCGAAGCGAGGGCGGCTGAAACAAAGCATGCGTTGTTGATAACTGTGGCGGCATATCTGCGCCACCCAAGCACGCGCGCGACGCGCGCGCCACCAAGTCCCCGCGGCCGCCCGACACACCGCGCGCCTACACCGGGTCTCGCGCGGCGGACTTTGCGCCCGCGCCGAGGCACACGAGGCGATCACGCGCCAGCCGCGAGTGCCATTTTCAGTGACACACCGCTAGAGGGCCGAGTTTCTCGCAATGAAGAAACGGCCCGGAAGGATATAAATAGGCCCGATATTCCGAGATAAGAGCAGACACGGTTCTCAAGTCGCAGTACGCGTTCGCACTCGACAAGAGCAAACTAGATCTTTTTGAGAAGAAAGAGCAGAACAAAAATCGCCAAGCTGCCGCCTACAACCACAACCAGTACCGGCGTCGCCAAGACCGCTGTAAGGGTCGCTACCAGACCCCACAGGGTAGCAACGTCGAAGCGCAGCAGCTCCACAGCAGGACCACCACCAGTAGCAGCACTCCCTGCAGACGAGTGGAGGCTAGTAGCGATTGATTTCGGGCCTACGTCAACAGACCCACGCCGTCGGCCGCCAAGGACATCTCGCAGGACTAGAGAACGCCCAACGCCGGAAGCAGTCCTACAGGCCTTGGCAATACCAGCCCGCGTCCAGCCGCTACCTACGAGGCCGTCCAGCACCGCGGACAAGGAAACGCAGACCGTGCAGACGCCCGAACGGAGATCGACTTCGACGCAGACGAAGGAGACCTACGCCTACGATAAGGCAACGCAGACTCCCCACAAGGAACAACTGTGGAGTTTCACACGCGCACAGCCGAGCATAGCGTGGGGTCCGCGTAAATCTCCGGCCTAAGGCCGCGGCGAACAATCGGCCCTTTTTAGGGCCACAAAAACGATAGCACATAAGATCTCTTGTATATACACCTGTAAATTAGTTCGTGATAGAATATATTGTAAATAGCAAAAAGGAAAGAAACATCTCTTCATTTTGGCGACCACCACTCCTGCACCGACGAAAAATAAACCTTGCGAGAAGCGAACCGCATAGCGCCCTGCAAAAGGAAGATCACCGTTGGTCAGAGCAACCCGCTCTCTAAACGCACGCTCTCCACTGCAAACACCGCGACGTACTATACACCTCAATAACTAATCAGGAACTAAACGACTAGAGAGATTTTGGACGCAAGAGGAGATGCCGGAGCACCGACAACTCAGTATTTCAGAAGCATATTGTGAAGAGTACTTTAAGAATACCACCACCAGGAAAGTCTCAGGGAGATTTATAGTGAGACTCCCAAGAAAGAAAGGAATCGTGCTGGGCGATTCTAAGCAGCAAGCAATCAGACGGTTTTACGCGTTAGAACGTCGTTTGAAAAGACAATCTTCAATCAAAGACGAATATGTACAGTTTATGAGAGAATATGAACAGAAGGGACACATGAGTTTAGTGATGCCGAGCTCAATTGTAAAAGAAAAGGCGTATTTCATTCCGCATCAACCAGTGTTAAGACCGGAGAGCATTACAACGAAACTTAGAGTTGTCTTTGATGCTTCTGCCAAGACAGATAATAACAATTCCTTGAATAATATGCTAATGGCGGGACCTAACCTACAAGGTGACTTGTTACACATACTTTTGAGATTTCGCAATTATGAATTTGTCCTTACAGGCGACATCGCTATGATGTTTTGCCAAATATTGATAGCAGAGGAGGACCGAAATTTACAGCACATTCTGTGGAGAGAAAAGGAAGAACATCCTTTGAAGACGTTTGCGTTAAATACAGTGACATACGGAACTAAGAGCGCACCGTACTTGGTTATGCGCTGCCTCAAACAATTGGTAATCAAAGAAGGAGAACAATTTCCAATGGCACAACAAGCATTAAGATCAGATTTTATATGGACGACGTCTTAACAGGCAACGATGACTTGGAAGAGACAATCAATTTGCAGAAGCAGCTTGCTAACCTCTTAGCGAGAGGATAATTTCATTTGAGAAAGTGGCGCTCGAAGTGACGATCGAGTTTTAAAACATTTAATGGAGGAATACAAAGACGACGAATTATTAATCATTAATAAGAACGCCCCGGTAAAAACATTGGGAGTCCTTTGGGATCACAAGAGCGACCTTTTGCGGTATAATGTGAAAGAAGTAAAATCTGGCAGTATAACAAAACGCAGTGTGTTGTCAGAGATCGCCCAGATATACGATCCTTTAGGCTTGCTTGGGCCTATAATGGTTGTTGCAAAAATAATAATGCAACAGTTGTGGACACTTAATCTGCAATGGGATGAGAGCCTGCCACAAGAGTTTCATAGCAGGTGGAAAGCATATCAATCATCGTGGAATCAGATCGGCCATTTGGAGATACCTCGTCACATTAAGGACAAAGGTGTTAAATCAAGAATTCTCCTCCATGGATTCAGCGACGCGTCAGAGCGTGCATATGAAACTTGCTTATATGCAGTAACTCGTAACTCAGAAGGCAGACTTCAGTCAAATCTACTTTGCGCAAAGTCAAGAGTAGCGCCTCTCAAGGTTTTGACGATCGCAAAACTGGAGCTGAATGCCGCACTGTTATTGGCCAAGCTTTGCAAGACAGCTCAAGAAGCTCTAACAGATAGCATTCAAGACGTACAGCTGTGGAGTGATTCAACCATTGTATTGGGTTGGATACGCACCTACCCAAGTACACAGAAAACATTTGTTGCTAATCGCGTTTCAAAAATTCAAACTCTAGGATTTCAACATGTGTGGCAGCATGTGCCATCAACAGAGAATCCTGCAGATGTTTTATCCAAGGGAGCAACAGTTGAAGAATTACAGGGGCACCCGTTATGGTGGTACGGACCATGGTGGCTGCAAAAAGAGGATTCATGGCCTGAACAACCGAATAGCGTAAAGGAATTGCCAGAGAAGAAGACCATAGTTAGTTGTATAGTCACCGCTCAACCTTCAGCACTGTTACCATCGGTACCATCTTTCAGGCGTCTAGTAAGGATCATTGCGTGCTGCTACAGGTTTGGTGAGCGCTGCAAAACGAAAGGCGAAGCTGGAGCATTATCAGTGGCAGAAATCGAAAGAGCGGAAACAGCGGTAGTAAGACTAATCCAAAAGGAAGTCTTTTTTTAAGAGTATCATGGTCTTCAAAAGGGTCAACGTGTCAAAAATAACAGTCCATTAATCGCATTGGATCCATTTTTAGATAGTAGGGATCTGATCTGTGTCGGTGGTCGGTTGCAACATGCCGATTTGCCTCAAGAAGCGAAGAACCCGATAATATTACCATCCAAGCACATCACAAGCTTAATTTTCCGAGAAGAACACGTGAAGCAACATCATTGCGGAACAGAGCAGCTGTTGGCATCGGTTAGGCAAAAGTACTGAGTTCTTTCAGGCAGAAGAGAGGCTCAGAAGACTACACGTTCGTGCATTCATTGTTTTCGCTGGCGGCCGATCAGCGCGCAAGTAAAGATGGGAAACTTGCCAGCAGAAAGGGTGACAAATTACGTCCGTCCCTTTGCTATAAGCGGCGCGGATTACGCCGGACCAATAAGAATCAAGGAGAGCAGACGTCGCGGACGAGTGCTCAGCTCCAAGGCATATACAGGGTGTCCCACCTCTACCGGATTTCCTTTTAAGAATGTGTTCCTGAGATAATTTTGAGACGAAAATCTTAATACAAAAATGTCGAGGCTATAATACTTTTCAAATTATAAACGATTTAAATTAACCAATATTAGCGGCTGAAATTCGCGCGCTCAGGCACGGCACATTCGATGGCTCTTTTTTTACATATCAGTACACAAAACTAACTTCGTGA